ACCAGATTCTACAAAAGAAGAAAAAATTGTAGCTACGTTCGCTGCGAGTGTCTGCTCGCCTTGAAAGTCGCCACCACGAGTCAGCTGCGCGCTTGTCGGAGAGTATGCCGCTGCATGAGGAGATCCACTGCCACTTTGATGATGCTGGTGATATGTTGCGCCAGCAATGAACATTGCAGTTTGGTGCTGCTGTTGCATAGTAGCGCCTGTATACGATGGTGGAAATGCAAATGCTCCTGGTGATCCTTGAAAATTACAAGGCAGCATCATGCCGACGGGAAAGAATGCACCGGGGGGTGCTGGAAGACATCCGCGTGGCAATCCCGGAGGTAGTTGCACTTGTTGTCCACGCGGGGATCCGATGCTGGAGCTGGACGTGTCACCAGCAAGCAGCGACTGCCACGACGACTGCAAGCCACCGGCGGAAGATGGCGCACCTGTGCTACCAGTTGACCTGTCAAGCGCATCAGTATGCTTACCTACATGTGGATTGAAGACAGGGCTTCCGCAGTTCGTCAGCGCCACCGCATTTACCTGCGCATCTCCTGGCGCGTGAGGCGACGCTGCGCCATTACCACGCGGTTGCTGTCGCTGTTCTTGACCTTGCGCAAGGAACGGTTGCCGCGCCGTGGCTGCAGAATTTGGTCGACCGCTCCACTTGCAACTGCCCCTGAAGCTAGCATCGACTTCGAAGCTTGAAGATCTACTGGCGCCTTTCCGTCCCTCCGTTTCTTCACGAGCTGGGCAATCGAAGTCTGATGCACCATTCTCCTCGCCCTCTTCCTCGTTCAGCAGCTCTTCCGCAATGTCCTCGGCGCCCTCAAAACCTGTTTCTCTATTCTCATCAACGCCGGGAAGTCGGTTAAGGATGTTTCTGTTCCAATTCATGATACCTTGATAATCCAGAAGATCCCGCATGTCTGCAACACTAGACCCTGCTGCCGATGAAGTACAACTGGAGCCTGACCTGTCGCGACACCACACACAAATATGACAGTTTTCACAGCGAGCACCATCACGACACCCGCCCTTACGACGCACGTATCGGCACGGCGCCGAGCACTGGAATGGGTGCCCAAAACTTCCAAGTGACGCGGTTGGTGAAAAAGAAAGCGCGCCTCCGCGAGAGGAAGTAGAAGCAGCCCCAGCCTCAGCCTGGTTGATGCCGTGGTATATTTTTTGTGTGACACAATGCTAACATTATTTAATGTATCCATTTGAAATTGTGAACTTGAGGCTACAGCTATCAAAATTATGGTGCCAGTCGGTCGATCTGCCAAAAGAATAAACGATGAAGAAAATGACGAAGTTGTAGTGTTAGTTGTTGTTCAACGCTTTTTTAGACGATTGAAGATATGAAGTACGCTGCATAGACCCTCTTTGTCCTCGGTATCCCTTTTTCTCCAGAAGCACAGATGACATTTGGGGCATGCTGCGCCATCCCGACAGCCGCCCTTGCGCTTCACGTAGCGACATGCCTCCGCAGCACAAGTACTCGGATGGCCTGCAGTCCCTAAAGAAAGAACACCGGGTCCGACATTTCCATCAAGCGCGAGGGTCATGTCTCCCTCGATACTCAGCGCGGCTCTCTGAGCAGGCATGCATCTCTTTGGGTCTGCAGGAGGTGGAGTAGAATCATTATATTTGGGTGGATAAAAAAACAAACTTGATGTTGATCTTCCCCCATCGTATCATCATTGTCTTTTCCACACGAGTATTTTCCTTTCTAGTTGGTGTTGTCCTCTTCAATTGATTCACAAAGAAATATTTATATATGTACCAGGGAGGGAGGCCCCCTCCCCCCCCCTGTGGATGGATCTGGGGTGGACCACGCCAGAGGGGTCCAGCCTGGCCACCTTTGCGCGGTCTGTATGGTTGGCCACATGCAGCACGCCAAGGGGGTGGGTCCCGCCTTGCCTCCTCTGCCAGCTCTGTCGGGTACCGCAACACGCCAGAGGGCGCCAGCCTTGCCATCTTTGCCAGGTCTGCAGGGCACAGGCAACAAGGCAGCGGGGCCCTGCCTTTGCCAGGCCTGTAGGGGACACGCAACAAGGCAGCGAGGCCCTGCCTTTGCCCCCTTTGCCAGGTCTGTAGGGCACAGGCAACAAGGCAGCGGGGCCCTGCCTTTGCCAGGTCTGTCGGGCACATGCAACAAGCCAGCGGGGCCCTGCCTTTGCCTTTGCCAGGTCTGTAGTGTACATGCAACAAGTCAGCGGGGCCCTGCCTTTGCCTTTGCCAGGTCTGTAGGGTACATGCAACAAGCCAGCGGGCCGGGGCCCTGCCTTTGCCTTTGCCAGGTCTGTAGGGTACACGCAACAAGGCAGGGCCCCGCTGGCTTGTTGCATGTACCCGACAGACCAGGCAAAGGCAAAGGCAGGGCCCCGCTG